TTTTTTTTTTTTTTTTTTTCCTCTCCATATTACCTCGTGCTCCCGCCATTATTATAATCGCCTATCCTTGATACTTATTATTCGACGCCGGGACAAAAATATTTCGTGTTGACGAGAAAAATTTTCACGATTTCCCTTGAAATATATAAATGATCATATAAAAATTCTTGTATTTAAAAAAGATGATTTTTATAAAATAATTCGTCAATGTATTTTTAAGATATTTCGGATCGAAATATTTTCTTATATTAAATATTTGACGAGTAAAGTTTAAAACATAAGAATTTTAATTTTAGAAATCCGTGATATCAAAATATCGTGTAGTTACGATATTTTACGAGATATTTCGGCTGCCATAATGAATCCATTCACAGCCTGTCCAATGAGAAGAGCCCATTGCCTTCAGTGACGTCACATACGTCCTGTTTATACTATCATTTTTACCGACATTTAATAACGTTGATAGTTGTAAACCGCTGTAAAGCCCGTAATGTAATGATTATAAGCCTACCCTTTATGGGTGAATAAAACTAAAACATCCCTTGGACGTTGTAAACCCAACGTAGTAAACAAAATTATCCAGTATCGGGATAAAAATGTTACCATACATAAACAAGATATACGTGATCTCATCATGAAGCGTGACGGCCTTTTCTCATTGGTCGAGAACCGAGTAACATCGTAATGGCGGTCGAAATATCTTTACATACGCACAACTTTCGATCCCGATGTACTTTTAAAATTAATATTATTATTTTCGGCCTCTATTCGTCAGATACTATTAGCAGATGTGAAAATATCTCGAAAAATTTAAAAAAAAAAAAAAACGAATAAAACCGCGGGAACTTTTCGAAATGATTTATTGCTGACTCTTGATAAGTTTTGTTGTCGACACTGTATGCATGTATGAGTCATGTGTCGGACGATGGACGTCTTGAGCCTTCCAAGAAGGTTCGCGATTAACGGTCATAAACAATTGCGCGTCGCAACGCCCTTATAATTCAGCACGGCTGACAGTAGTAGCTCTTGCGGGTCGCGAGCCCACGCAACCGGAGGCGCGTGAATAATGGCGGCACGACGCGACTCTCGCGATATAATGAAATCCCGGGGCCAAAGGGCTGCTTTCTACTTCGTTCGTGAATGACCCTCGGCTCTCTATGATCTATATCCCGTCTGTTACCCTGACCATGCCCAAGACCTATAGGAAATTCGCTCGAAAATCTAATTTTATTTCTTGAACATGGAAATTTACGAAGAAATTTGATTTGAAATTCGACGAATGCGTTAATTTGGATAAAGAGAGAATAAAATTAATTTTTGCGCGAAGAATTTTGAGTCAATCGAAATTTGTTAAAATTTTAATTCTCGATATAATTCGAACAAATTCGGATAATTTATAATTTCCGATTTATATAGTTTGATTATATAGATTGGTTATATAGTTAATGTTTAAATTATTAGAGTAAATATAGAATGTAATCAATCAAAGTGACATACTTTGTAATATCAATTGAAGAAATTATTGATCCTGACACTCTGATTGCCTATAACCTGATATAGTACTCTTGTTTAGAAAAGATTGCAGACCGCAAAACCGTGTGTGTAAGAAAAT